CCTTGATTTCTTTCTTCAGTGTTGTGTAGTTTTCTGAATACAGGTCTTTTACCTCTTTGGTTAGGTTTATTCCTAGATATTTTATTTTTCTTTTTGCTATTTCAAGTGGGATTTTTTTCCTTGATCTCTGCTTCTGCTATTTCATTGTTGGTGTACAGAAATGCCTTTGATTTCTGGATATTGACTTTGTATCCCGCTGTTTTGCCAAATTCATTTATTAGTTCAAGCAGTTTTTTGGTAGAGTCAATAGGATTTTCTATGTATACTATCATGTCATCTGCAAACAGTGATAATTTTGTTTCCTCCTTTCCGATTTGGATGCCTTTTATTTCTTTTTCTTGTCTGATTGCTGTGGCTAAAACTTCCAGGACTATATTGAATAGAAGTGGTGAAAGTGGACAGCCTTGTCTTGTTCCTGATCTTAATGGAAAAGGTTTTAATTTTTGCCCATTGAGAATGATGTTGGCTGAAGGTCTCTCATATATGGCCTTTATTATGTTGAGGAATGCTCCTTCTATTCCCACTTTGCTGAGTGTTTTTATCATGAATGGGTGCTGTACCTTATCAAATGCTTTTTCTGTATCAATTGATATGATCATGTGGTTTTTGTGTTTGCTTTTGTTTATGTGATGTATTACATTTACTGACTTGCGAATATTGAACCATCCTTGCATCCCTGGAATGAATCCCATTTGGTCATGGTGTATAATCTTTTTAATGTATTGTTGGATGCGGTTTGCCAGTATTTTGTTGAGGATTTTAGCGTCAATGTTCATCAGTGATATTGGCCTGAAGTTTTCTTTCTTTGTTGTGTCTTTATTTGGTTTTGGAATTAGGATGATGTTGGCCTCATAAAAAGAGTTTGGGAGATTCCCATCTTTTTGGACTTTTTGGAATAGTCTGTGAAGGATAGGGGTTAGCTCTTCCTTAAATGCTTTGTAGAATTCTCCTGTGAAACCATCTGGTCCCGGGCTTTTGTGTGTTGGGAGTTTTTTGATTACTGCTTCAATTTCTTTTGTTGTTATTGGTCTGTTCAGACTTTCTGCTTCTTTTTCATTGAGTTTTGGAAGATTATATTTTTTCTAGAAAGTTGTCCATTTCATCTAAGTTTTCAAATTTTTTTGGCATACAGTTCTTCGTAGTAATTTCTTACAATCCTTTGTATTTCTGTGGTATCTGTTGTAATCTCTCCTCTTTCATTTCTGATTGTGTTTATTTGGGTCTTCTCTTTTTTTTCTTGATGAGTCTGCTTAAAGGCTTGTCTATTTTGTTTATCTTTTCAAAGAACCAGCTCTTGGATTCACTGATCCTTAGAATTGTGCTTTTAGTCTCTATGTCATTTAATTCTGCTCTGATCTTGGTTATTTCCTTCCTTCTGCTTGCTCTGGGCTGCCTTTGTTGTTGTTCCTCGAGTTCTTGTAGACATAGGGTTAGGTTGTTTGGAATGTTTCTAACCTTTTTAGGTGGGCCTGTATCGCTATGAACTTCCCTCTCAGGACTGCCTTGGCTGTGTCTCATAAGTTTTGGGTTGTTGTGAATTCGTTTTCATTTGTTTCCAGAAACCTTTTGATTTCTTCCCTAATATCATTCTTGACCCATTCATTGTTTAATAGCATGCTATTTAATCTCCATGATTTTGAGTGTTTTTGTTTTTTTTCCCTCGGGTTGGTTTCTAGCTTCAGTCCCTTGTGGTCTGAGAAAATGCTTGGTATGATTTCAATTTTCTTGAAATTCTTGAGGCTTGTTTTGTGTCCTATCATGTGGTCTATCTTTGAGAATGTTCCATGTACATTTGAAAAGAATGTATATTTAGCTTCTTTTGGATGGAGGGCTTGGTATATATCAGTAAAGTCCATTTCATCAAGGGCATTGTTCAATGCCACAATATCTTTGTTGATATTTTGTTTAGAAGATCTGTCCATTTTTGATAGTGGGGTGTTAAAATCTCCCACTATAATTGTGTTGCTGTCCATATCTTTCTTGAAGTCCTCTAAGATTTTCTTTATGTATTTGGGTGCTCCTATGTTGGGTGCATATATATTTACAATATTTATGTCTTCTTGATGGATTCTTCCCTTGAGTATTATGAAGTGACCTTCTGGGTCTCTCTTTATGGACCTTTTTTGGAAGTCTATTTTGTCTGATATGAGTATTGCTACCCCAGCTTTTTTTTTCCTGTCCATTTGCTTGGAAGATTTGTTTCCAGCCCTTCACTTTCAGCCTGTGTAGGTCTTTTTGTCCTGAGGTGGGTCTCTTGTAGACAGCAGATATGTGGGTCATTTTTTCTTATCCAATCAGCTATTCTATGTCTTTTGATTGGAGCATTTAATCCATTTACGTTTAAGGTTATTATTGTTAGGTACTTATTCATTGTCTTTTATGTATGTGGGAACACTTTTTTTTAACTGGGGTATATAGGTGAGTTCTTCCTGGTCTAGTTAGATGAACCCTAATATAGTATCATCAATCTAGAAATATCATCAGTCTTAAAGCCACCCCCCACTTCCCTTCTCACTTTTGCAAATAATATAACTCACAGTAGAATAAGGTATTGCTTGGGGCAGTGAAGGGCATGGAGGGCTCAAGAGCCAGTAGATATTACACAAAAAAATAAAATAAAACACAATAATAAAAATAAAAATGCATACATCTATTATCTCATTTAAAAAGTTAAAACTATGGAAAAGTTGCAAGACTAATACAATGAACTATCATATGCCTTTTACTTAGATTTATAAATTTAACATTTTGTGACATTTTCCTCACTTATCTTTGCTAAACCATTTGAGAGTAAGTTACATATATTGAAACATTTTATCCCTAAATGCTTGTGTATCTCTTAATAACCATAGCACAATTTAAAATTCAAGAAGCTTAACATTTAAATAATACTATTGTCTAGTATAAAAGCCATATGTAAATGTCAACAATTCTCCTGAAAATATTTATAACATGTTTTTCCCGATGCAGGGTCTCATATTGTCATTAGTGGTATGTCTCCTTAATCCCTTAAATCTAGAAGAGTTCCTCAGACTTTCTTTGTCTTCCATGACACTGACATTGTTTTAAGAGTTCAGGCCAGTGGTTGGGCAGAATGTTTCTCAGTTTGCATTTTTCTGATTGTTCCTTGTGATTAAATTCACAATATGCATTTTTGACAGGGATACTACAGAAGAGATATTGTGTCCTCAGTATTTTACATCAGAAAGTGCATCATGTCATTTTATCCCATAACTGGTGACATTAACTTTGACCATTTTGTTAGGGTGATGTCTGTCAGACTTCTCCATCATAAAAGTAGTATGTTTATCCTTTTGAAATGAATAAAAAAATCAGAGAATGCTTTGAGACTGCATAAATATCTAATTCCCCAGCAAACGTTCATCCAATGACTTTAACATCTATTGATAATCCTGAGCCAGTTATTACTATAATGGTTGCAAAATGGTGAGTTTTCTAATTTAATTGCTTCTATGCGTGTTAGTTCACATTCCAGTCAAGAAGAATTGTCATTCTCCCTTTATATTTAAAATTTTAGGAATAACTATGCACAGTAGATACTTTTTAAATACTGTTATACTTCATTCCTATCATTATTCATTCATGATGCTCACATTGTCCCACATTTAGTAAGTGGAATTACATTCAAGCTAGTTCCTATTTCCTTTTATTCCCTGAAATAATTAGTTTATTACTAATTTTGGTATTTTTTCCTAGGGTTATATGTTTATGCTTGTAATTTTTTCAATTAACTTACATTTGATATTATTTTGTGTTAGTTTTAGGTGGACAACATAGTAATTAGACAATTATATACTTTACATAGTATCCCCTCTGATATTTCCAGTACCCAACTGGCACCATATATAATTACAATATTATTGATCGTATTTCCTATGCTGTACCTGTCTTATTTCCTTTCGACATGTCTTCATCTTTTAAAAATCTTGCTTTATTGCACGGACAATAAATATTTCAAGGATATTTAATAATTTCCTGCTCTCTTCCCTGGAATCATCCATTTCTCCAAAGAATTTGATTTTGTTTGGTGGAGAATGGCATTTAGAAACCGAGATCTGGAGGCACGTTAATATAACCAAAATATTAAGATAACACTGTAACTGTTTCCTTGGGAGACTGTTGTGATGTGCACTCCTAACTCTAGCATTACCTGAATGACCTTAGCAATTCCCTTCATTCCCTGGGGCTTGGTTCCTCATGGGAAAATAAATTGGAATAGATAAGTACGCATTTCTTAACCTTTTCGGGATCACCGACACGTTTGGGAATCTTCTAAATACTATAGTCCCAAATCCCCAGAGACAAGCTCAAGTAAGTAAAAGTTTTCATAAATTTTAGGGGGGTTGAGGCTTCCAGGCCCAGCTGAGGTTAAACAGCCTTGAGTTAAGCGATCTCTAAGGTCTCTTCAATGCTAACCTTCTGTTAATCTATAAGCGACCGTGCTGCTGTCAGAATGATTACTCAGACATCGAACTGTGGAGGGATTTATATAGAAACAAAATGGGAAAAGGATACAAAGAAAGGAGGTTGTGAGCCATGCATTGCTCGGCCACACCTCTCTGCCCTTGCCAAATTTAGGACACCCTGTGGTCACAGGTGAGCGGTTTTGGCTGGAAGGTCCGGCCGTGGGCAGGAAACGCCGGCCTCAGGGAAGAAGACCGCAGGCGGAGTCAGGGTCCACGCAGCCCCCTTCGCTCCGCCCACCAGGGTTCGCTCGTCTGGGGAGACTGGGAACTGCTCTGGCCTGGGTGGGGCGTACCCTCGCCGCTGGCAGCGGCTTGGCGGTAGGTAGAGCCGAAAAAGCCAGAGCCGGGAACAGGCCGTCCAGGTTCCGTCAGTCTCGGCTTCTATCCACTCTCCCGCAGCTGACCTCCTGCTCCGGTCGCCAGGGTGACCAATCTAGGCCCGGTCCCGCCCCCCCCCCGCGGCCCCATGACGTCAGAACACGTCAGCTGCTGCGCGCGCCAGGCTGGGCCCAGAGGGGTTGGAGGGACTGAGCGGAGCAGCTAGTCCAGCGGCAGTGGCCGGAGCTCCAGTCTGCCGAGTTGAACAGCGGGTTTCAGCAAAGGTCTTGGTGGATGACCCGAGGCACTTGCAGAGCTGGCGGGTGCGGGTGAGGTTCTACGACCTGGAGGGCACACTGGGCAAGGGCAGCTTCGCGGCGGTGAAGCTGGGGCGGCATCGGATCACCAAGACGGAGGTGTGGCCCAGGGCTCGTCTGGAGCGTCTGAGGCGAGGGTTCAGGAGAGGAAGTGTTTACCGACAAGGGAGGCTGCAGCGGGAGCTTGGGGAGACTCGAGAGGCCGGGTCGCTAGCTGACGCGAGAGGGCCTGGGACCTGAGGACCCAGGCGGTGCAGGGGATCGGTGAACGCCTAGGGGTTTGGGGCCGGTCACTTGGACCCGAGTTTCGTGCGTTGGGAAGCCCGACCAGCCGGGACTTTGCCTTCCCTACGCCTCTGCGTTGGGCACGCGGAATCTGTCCAGAGCCTTTCACCCTTAACGTTACTTGGTCTCTGGCCTCCGCTCGGGAGCCCAAGTTTCGCGTCCTTCCAGCTTTGGACTGGAGTAGGGTGGGAGGGGAAGTCTGTGCTCCTGGGCTGCGCGGTGAGAGACGTCGCCAGCCCTTCGGTGTGGACCGCCCGCGCACGGCCTCCGGAGACCCTGCAGTTCCTTGTGACCTCGGCACTCCCACGGCTCCGCGGGGACCCCCTTTGCTGATAATGCCCTGACGGCCACTACCCATCTTCTCACCTTCCTTTTGCCCCACGGTGTCTCTGATTTGGTGTCAGGCTAGTTCGATCTGGTTCCTGAGGTATTTCCAACTAACACTCTAGACAATGGAACTGGTTAAATTGGCCGTCTCTGCATTTGCACGGTTGGTGGGTTGGTCTTTATTATCCTGGGTTGTCCCTTAAACAGGTGTGTCTTCTGGCTGCGAATAACGCGTTCCTTAACCTGCAGCAGATTACACTCGACTCTTAAAGCCCGCCACTGCTTCCCGACGGTGACTTCAGCGCCCCCCACTCCATTGCACATTCTAATGCACCACATATATTTTCTCACGAGTGTGTTCTTATCCCCACCCCCCCACCCCCCGCCTTCGCCCCCTTTTCTCCCACTGCCTCAAGCTGCTCTCCTCAGGCTCTCTACTTTTAGACGTGCAAATCAAACACTTTAGAAAAACGGTAGATTTTCTAAAACCATTCTTTAGATTTCACAAAACCATTCTTTAGAATAAAATCAAGTGTTTTTGACGTACTCTGCTCTGCCTTATTGTAGTTCTGAAATTGCATCCTTTTTCAGTTTGTTTGTTTCCAGTTTCCATCCTTTTCATTTTTTCCCCATATTAGTGTGGATGTCTCTGAACGTGGAATAACTTAGGACCTTTTTATTTTTCAGAATGGCCGTGTAAGGTGAAGGGCATTTGAAAACTTGAGTGATTTTTGTAGGTCTTTTTCCTAGAAGTTTTGCTTAACTTCGTTTTTGCTTTGTTTTTTGTTAAGGAATCCAGTTCCAAAAAGAAAGGGTCCATGTCATTGGGTCATCCTCGCTTTTCCACTCCCTACTGATCCAGAAGTACTCACATAAGACATATTTTTTAGCATCAGGACCAAGGTCACAGGTTTTCCTCTCGACAAATTTCTGTGTTAGCAGTTTAGATTGTAATGATAAATAATGTGACTGTAATGAAATTACTTAATCTGATCCTAGCATTTTTTAAAATTTTACTTATTTAGATTTTTAAATAACTTTTTTATACTTTTAAAAAGATTTTATATATTTATTTTTAGAGAGGGAAGGGAGGGAGAAAGAGAGAGAGAGAAACATCGATGTGGGGTTGCTGGGGGCCGTGGCCTGCAACCTGGGCATGTGCCCTGACTGGGAATTGAACCTGCGACACTTTGGTTCACAGCCCGCGCTCAATCCACTGAGCTACGCCAGCCAGGCCTAGATTTTTAATTAACTTTTAAAGAGAAGGGATGGGAGGGAGAAAGAGAGGGAGAGAAACATGGATGTGAGAGAGAAACATTGATCTACTGCCTGTGGAAACCCAGGCACTGCTCTGACCAGGAATCTGACAGACCACCTGTCGCCTTGCAGGATGATACCCAAAAATCAAACAAATTGCATTTTACAGAGAGCTCCTACAGAACTGTTGAACTATGTATTGTTATGTGGTTGAATTCCAAACCCATCAATTCATAACTTTTTTCTCATCAGCTCTTATCAGTATTAGTAGCAAGATTTAATTAAGTTAGCTATTATTTATTAGTTGAATTTAGGTCATACAGTATCTAAGCACTGCTTAAGTGAGGCTCATACTGACACTTTGTTTTCTCATGTTAGACCTCTGTGTAAATTTTGCACACAGAAGGGAAGGCAGGTGATGGTGAAATCCAGCTTCTTAATATAATACTTCATAAAAGTTTTGTAGTATTGGTTTGTGGTTTATGAATTAGAATAGCTAATTTTATAAAATTAGCATAATGGGAAAAGAATAATAGTATTTTAGACTGTTAAACTATTTCAGGCAGTAGTGGTTGCTAGTTCGCTATAAGTGTCCAGTATTATTTTACTTTATTTAATTTATTTTTAAAATTTTCACCCAAGCACATTTATGGACTTTTAGAAAGAGGGGAAAGAAGGGAGAAAGAGAGGGGGAGAAACCAGAGTTAGTGCTTCCTTAAATGGTTGGTAAAATTCACCTGTGAAGCCATCTGGTCCAGGGCTTTCGTGTGCTGGGAGCTTTTTGATTACTGCCTCAATCTAACTTGTTACGTTCTGTTCAGGCAGTCTGCTTCTTCTTGATTCAGTTTTGGAAGATTGTGTGTTTCTAGAGGTTTGTCCATTTCACTCAGGTTGCCCAATTTCTTGGCATATAGTTGTTCATAGTAATTTCTTACCATCCTTTGTATTTCATTGGTATCAGTTGTTACTTCTCTTCTTTTACTTCTGATTTTATTTATTTGTGTCCTCTCTTTTTTTTTCTTGATGAGTCTGGTTAAAGGTTTGCCAGTTTTGTTTACCTTTTCTAAGAACCAGCTCCTGGATTTATTGATCCTTTGGATTGTTCTTTTAGTCTATGTCATTTAATTCTGCCCTGATTTTATTTCCTTCCTTCTACTTGCTCTGGGCTTTGTTGTTGTTGTTCCTCTAGGTCTTGTAGATGTAGGGTTAGGTTGTTTATTTGAGATATTCTATCTTCTTTGGGTAGGTTTGTATTGCTGTGAACTTTCCTCTTAGTACTGCCTTTGCTGTGTCCCATAGGTTTTGGGTTGTTGGAGGTTGATTTTCATTTGTTTCCAGATACTTTTTTATTTCTTCCTCGATCTCATTGTTGACCCATTCCTTATTTAGTAACAAGGTAGCCACTCTCCATGTATTTGAATGTTTTTGAGTGTTATTCCTTGAGGTTGAGTTCTAGTTTCAATCAATTGTGATCTGAGCACCTGCTTTATATGATTTCAATTTTCTTGGATTTGTTGGGGCTTGTTTTGTGTCCTACCATGTGGTCTATCTTTGAAAATGTTCCATGTATATTTGAAAAGAATGTATATTTTGCTTCTGTGGGCTGAAAGGTTCTGTATATCAATGAAGTTAATTTGATGAAGGGTCCCACAATATCCTTGTTGATTCTTTGGTACATCTATCCATTGTTGACAGTGGGGTGTTAAAATCCCCTATGATGACTGTGTTGTTGTCTATATCTTTCTTGAAGTCCTCTAAGATTTTCTTCATATATTTAGGTGCTCCTATGTTAGGTGTGTATATGTTTACAAGGGTTATATCCTCCTGTTGGACTCTTCCCTTAAGTATTATGTAGTAACCTTCTTTGTCCCTTTTTATGGCTTTTGTTTTGAAGTCTGTTTTGTATGATATAAGCATTGCTACCCCAGCTTTCTTTTCATGTCTGTTTGTGTGGAATATTTTTTTCCATCCCTTCACTTTCAACCTTTGTAGATCCTTTGTTCTGATGTTGGTCTTTTGTAGACAGGATATATGCAGGTCATGTTTTCTTATCCATTCATCTACCATATGACTTTTGACTGAGGCATTTAATCCATTTATGTTTAAGGTTATTATTGATAGGTACTTATTCATTGCCATTATTTTCCATACCTGTTTTACTCCCTTTCCTCCCTTTGTTCATTTTTTATTTATTTTTAATTTAATCTTTATTGTATTTTTTTCCCATTACCATTTAGTCCCTTTATACCCACCTCTCCCCAGCAATCACCACATTGTTGTCCATGTCTTTGAGTCATTTTACCTTTTTGCTCAATCCCTCTGCCCCCTAACTTCCCCCACCCCTATAAGATGTCATCTGGTCTCCATTTATGAGTCTGTCTCTGTTTTGTGTGTTAGTTCAGTTTGTTCATTATATTCCACATATGAGTGAAATTGTATGGTATTTGTCTTTCTCTGACTGGCTTAGCATGATGTTCTCCAAATCCATTCATACTGTTGCAAACGGTAAAATTTTCTTCTTTACGGCTGAGTGGAATTCCAGTGTATAAATGTTCCATAGTTGTTTTATCCACTCCTCTATGGATAGACTCTTGGGCTTCTTCCATATCTTGGCTATTGTAAATAAAGCTTCAGTGAACATAGGGGTGTTTGTATTCTTTCGAATTAGTGTTTTGTGTTCCTTTGGATATATTCTAAGAAGTGGCATCGCTGGGTCAAGGCAGATCCATTTTTAATTTTTTGAGGTATCTCCATACCGCTTTCCACAGTGGCTGCACTAACCAACAATGCAAAAGGGTTTCCCCTTTCTCCACATCCTCACCAGCACTTGTTGATTTATTGATGATAGCCTTTCTGACAGACGTGAGATGGTATCTCATTGTGGTTTTGATTTGCATTTCTCTGATGATTAGTCACTTTGAGCTTCTTTTCATATGTCTATTTGCAATTTGTATGGCCTCTTTGGAGAAGTGTCTGTTCAGGTCCTTTGAGTATTTTTTAATTGGGTTGTTTTTTTGGTGTTGAGTTTTGTAAGTACTTTATAAAATTTGGATGTCAAATCTTAATCAGATGTATTAGTGAGTATGCTCTCCCATTCTGTGAGTTGTCTTTTTATTTTGTTGATGATTACCTTTGCTGTGTAA